CTGAAGAACACAAGGACCATAACTTGTCTGTTCTCCTCCCCCAATTCCCCAATAAAAATCTTTTAAAATAAAGGTACACAGACTATTGATATACCCTATAGCCAGAAGCATGGTGGATGACACTCCCAGTGTGAGCAAGTGTGCTGCTCCAAATGGATACAATGAGATGCAACCTGTATTTGTGTATATTTTAAGAGCAAATGACCCACATGGCCCCTGGTGTGGGTTCCTACTTGCAACTCGCTGCGGATGCTCCAACATTGGCGGTTTTGAACTTGTTCTTCTCTCCTTCGTGAGGGTGTCAAAGAACTGTGATTACTCAATTAATATATTGTCTAGAGAACAGTGCTTGGCACGGAATGAGCACTTTTTAGTTATTGCTGAGTTGTTGATATCCGCCTTCCATTGGGGCCAAAGGTCTATATTCTACAAGTTTCATGCCAAGTCCCAGGCTATACGTGAGTTAGTTAATTGGGCTACAAGTGGGAAGGGGTGAAACTGGGTGTTCAGGGATGCTGATCAGAACTGAAAGACAGATATGGTGCTTTGCTTTCCACAGCAGGTGCTCGTACTCATGTTAACCTCTATTTTGCACTTCTAAGCGAGACCTCCCATGAGGGGGTGCTACCACCATTGGTGAGAAGAAACTGGGGCTCCACACAGTTGAGGTGCTATTCCCAACACCAAACTGCTCCAATGCAACATATGGGCTAACACCAGACCCCACATTGTAATAATCTCCCATAATGCTAACAGCACCACACTTCAACTTATTCACATCCAACCCAGTCCTGCAAAGTGCGTTTTGTCTTACTGGGCCAGAGCAATGAAACAATCCAGGTTTTTTCATTTCAAGGAAATCATTGCTCACATCCCTGCAATTAGATGCCTCGGGGAGAGCGCAGGCCTGAACGTTTGTCCTTCTGCTCCCTCCGCTGGCCAATAAGGGCATCGCATGCTGGGAGATTCCAAGTCATATTCCTGCCCTTTGGGAACTTCAATGTGTTAATGGCCAATGACCCCAAAGCCCAATTCATGGAAAAACCAGAACCTCAACTTGAAGCTGAATCCCACAAAGGTACTCGATGGTCCAACACAGCCTAATGCATGTCCAACACTACTCTTAAGCCAACAGACTCATCAAGAAAGATGAAATTAAAATGGCCAATATCAGTAATCGAGAAACCCTGAAATAACCAACTCTGCAAAGAAAGTTTTCCTGATTGTCACCAGGCAACTCTAGACCCTTCTGCAGACCCAGTCAGAAGAACCTTCCCCCACCACCTCTGGGCTAAATGAGGCTCCAAGGCAGAGTCCGCCCTTCCTGTTTCTTCCAAGTTCTCCATTAAATAAATACCCAAGTGGCTGCTCCTGACCCTTCTGAATCCATACTGGTGACTCTGCCCCAGAGAAATAAAATCAAGAGTCCAAGTGGCCATGGGCCCAGGAGTTTCCAGCTTTGTCTCCTATAAAAGCACACTGAGATCTGAGCCCCAAAAGAACCTCTGTGTCTGTTTAAGCCAGTAAACAAGGGAAGTTTTTGTCCTTCCTCCTAGACACAGAGTCAAACACCGCCTCATCCAGCAGGAGAAAACAAGCATAGGCCATTATCTTAAAGGCAACTGCAAAAGGGAGGGGCGGAAAAAGGCTTCCGGTGTGCAGGCCCATGATAGGCTACCTGACCCTGGACTCACCTCGGAGAACTTGCCGTCACCAAACCACTGGACCCACCGCATGCCGGACATGGCCTGGCGCTTGGAGGTAGCCTTCCAAGACACCACCATGGCAGGCCACCAGGAGAAGCCCTTGATCTTTCCCCACACGAGGTCCCCTATTCCAAACTCCTTCCCATCCTGGAAGACAAACCACATGAAGAAATGAATCCCAATAAAACAAACCAGCCGGGCTGAGGAAAAATCCTACCCACCCCACGGACCTGCAATGGCAACTGTCTCACAGTCCCACTTAGGGCTTCCTGCAAGTACCCAGCAGGGCTCCTCAGGAAATTATCCGTCTGCCTCCAACATGTCAAGGTTAAAAAACCACGTGAGAATAAAGGGCAGTGGATGGGTAGGATTGGTTGTTTGATAGGAACATGGGGTTTATTATATTAGATCTATAACATTTAACCTAGGATTGAAAGGCGTCAACTGAAAACTCACAGGAAAAAAGATCTAAGTAAAATAATTGACAAAGCCCTGAACATCTAACCCCACCACAAGCCATCAGATAGTAAAGCATTTTAAAGGCTTTATTATAGCCTAACAACAAGACTACCTGTTTGATGGTGGGCTATGCCCGCCCACAACTAAGACTGAACTCGGTACCTTGAGCTGATCTGCCACCCGAATGGCTCAGTGGATATGGGCGTATGCTCTTAACAAGGCTGCCGGGTTCGACTCCCGCATGGAATGGTGGCTACACCTACCCGCAACTAAGATTGTAACACAGCACCTTGAGTTTAGAGGCCACAGGCTGCCAATAGGCAGCCAGATGGTGACTGGCGCCCTCCACAACTAAGATTGAAGAACAATAAGTTGGCTGGTCCCCTTCCCCAATTCTCCAACACTGTTCCACTCCCCCAATTCCTCAATTAAAAAAGAAATGCTTTAAGAATTGTTTGGTCATTTGCACATAAGCTTGCCATAAAATGTGAGGTGCCGTGGGCCGGCCGAGTGGCTCAGTTGATTAAGAGCTCGCTCAAGAGTATGAGCTCTGAGCAACAGCAGTTCGATGCCCAGCCCAAACTGAGCTGCCAACAGGGGCAGGATGGCTCAGCTAAAAAAAAAAAAAAAAAAGTGAGGTGCCCATGAAAACAGGCAAGCTGTTAAAATACATCTATAGTATGATCTACTCTGAAGTAACATACATAGAGAAAAGGGTTTCTACATGATATATATGTACCACATATATACGCAGCAATGCTTGAGTAAAAACAAACAAGCTCAACTGGTTAATTATACACAAAACATTAGATGGATTATACAATACAATGGATTATAGACATGAAAGTGAGCCAATTCTAATTCCTTGTAAGTGAAACGCCAATCAACAATGTATGTATACTATGAGCCGGGTCATGTATTATGTTTACAAAATACATATTATTTCTAGATACAAATATGTAATGTTCAGAAAATCAGGTGCTTGAGTTATGTCAAGGAGATAAGTAGAGTCAAGGATCATGTGACACGTGAAAAATTATACTTGGAGAATGAATTCAAATAGTATGCTAAAAGTGACCAAAATTGTAGTAATAATCCCCTTTGGGTAATGGTTTGCTTTTCTCTATCTTCAGCCCTTCCTAGTGGTACCTGATACTCGGTGCCATCTGCATCTCTGCCCTCTGTGTCCACCTGTGGGGAATCCAAGCTCTCCTGATGGCTGTCCTCAGCCAAGTGGTTGTAAGGGGTACTGCTGCTCTGGGGAACCACGTCATCTGTGAGGTCGATGGTGAGGTAGGGGCTGCCAGGAGATGGCCACGGTGTTGTGCCTGCCGACGATGTCGCCCGCCGCCTCAGGGACTGTGAACAGAAGGACATACAGATTGGGCCACAGCAAACCAGGTGGATGACCAGAGACCAGTGGCACCCCCAATTGCTTCCCAGGCAAGCAGAAACAGTGAAGATGTAAGTTAAGGAGTACAGAGACCACCAAGAATGCTTTTCCAGGACCAAGTAAGTATCCCTTAAGCAGTGGGAGAAAGCCACTTTCATCAAAACAGAGACAGCGTCAAGCGCAAAGGCATAATAACGATGAGTGATGCCGAGAGGCTCAGAGAACCAAGCTCAGAGAGGGCCACTGGTTTCCTAAGTGCTTACTGTGTGCCCAACCTTGGAACAGGAGTGGAGAGTTGCCGTAACCCTTGGGGCTGCCTCAAGACAGTCAGTGAAGAAACTAGGGAGACAAGACAGTTCTGGAAGTCAGTAGTTTCGAGCTCATTTCCTAGGAGGGGCAAGAACCCAGTAATTCTTGCATTCCCGCCACAGTTCCATCCAGGATCAGGCCAGCAGAGAAGTCATCAGGCTTAAGAGAAGCTTACCCAGCACCCAGGAGAGAAAGGAAAGGCAAGAAGACCCTGAAAAGGAGAGGAGTGTGAAGAACAGAAGCAGATTAGGGTTATGCATCGGCCACTTTCGGTGGTGCAGTGAGAGGAAGGTCTTCCAATTAGAGGCAGGGGGCAGGGGTCTGAGCATCCGGGGAACCAACCCTGGTAACTGAGAACTCCACAGGGGACTCATCCACGTGATTGCGGACCTGCCGGCCTCGGATGGAACGTAGGAAGGGTCTGTGCCTCTCCCGGCTGGAGGCACTGTTGTTATTTCGGGTTCGGACCTGGAAGCAAGAGAGGATAAGCAAGAAGCCTTCGGTGACAGCTGGCACGGGGTCTTGGGCAGGGGGCCAAAAGGACTGCGCTTGAGACACAGCCTCAGGTCAACAGAAATGCATGAGGTGGTTAAGTAGTGAGGGGCTCTGGGCTGGTAACTTCCCACCCAGAAACTCCCTAGTTCGTGCGATAAGGCGGTAGTAGAGTGGCCAGCAGGGCTGCCGGACAATTCACAGCAGATCCTACTGCCTGTCACAGCTGAAACTGGCACCTGTAATAGAACTGAAAAATAAAATCCAAGTTTACTCTAAACCAAACATTTTTTTTCCAAATGCATTAGAATAATTGCATTCTTCAGGAAGGTGCTGGATCCTCAAGATAGATGAGAAGGCCTTAGGCTTCTTTCTCAAAACGGCACGAACTTGGATGTTGCCAACCTGTGTTGAAATCCTACACGTAAGAGTTAACATTGAACCTTAGGTAAGTTATCAGAATCATCTCTCATCTGTAAAAAAATGGGGGATGATACACATGATATCCTAGCAGAGTGTGATTATAAACTGCAGCTGCAATGGTCACCAAGTGTTAGCTGGCTCTCTAACAGGAGACTAACCATGAGCAATAAATACCTTCCCATTTCCAGATCTCTAGCTTTAAGTCACAGAATCCACTCACAGAAGTGACTCCCACAGGTAACTGGCACTGACCCATCTACCAGCCAACTCTATCATCCTGGGGCACTTCCATGAGTGTTCTAAAAAGAATTTTAAAACTGCCATGTGAAAAAATCTTTCACAATAATAGCTCATGAGCTTTGCTGTCATTGTTCCAATTTCAAAACATCTGTTCACCTCTCTCTCCAAAGTCCCCCCAGGGAGATCCAAGACGTGTTTTTTTATACAGGACTATGAGTGGTTGGAGGTGCCTTGGCTCTGGGGTGGGAACTTACAGCTGGGCTTTCAGACCGAGTCCTGGTTTCACGGAAGAGTTTTGGCATCACTGGAGTGTCAGCGCGATCTCCATCTTCCCCTTCACCATCTCCATCGCCCGTCAGATCCTTTATAAATGCACCATTATGAGCATCAGGATGTCATTGTGTCATATAACCAAGTTTAAAAACGAACAATCATGTTTAAAACAATCTTGGTCTAGCCGAGTGGCGCGTTGGTTAAGAGCTGGCTTAGGACGCCAGCTCTCAGCAGCAGCACCCCGGTTCGGATCCCACATTAGGGCCAGTGAGGCTGCGCCCTCTACAGCTAAGATGGTGAAGAACAGCTCCACCTAGAGCTGGGCTGCCGTGAGTCATCGGTGACGGTGTAGGCTGCAGTGAGGCTGCAGTGGGCTGCCATAAGCTACCATGAGTATCTGACAGCCAGTGTGAGCAGCCAGCAGCCAGAGTGAGCTGCCAAGAGCCGCTGTAAGCGGGCGTCCCGTGGCCGGCGACCAATCTGTCTCACCCAGAAAGAGCGCAATGATAATACCAACATGGGCCAGTGAAGTGACGCCCTCTACAACTAGACTGAAGAACAAAAGGACAGCAACTTGTCTGTTCCCCTCCCCCAATTCCCCAATAAAAATCTTTATAAATAAATAAATAAATATAAAACAATCTTAATATTGGTCCAAGAGACCAATTTTTTTTTAAAGATTTTATTGGGGAATTGGGGAAGGAGAACAAGTTTTTGTCCTTCAGTCTTAGTTGTGGAGGGCGCAGCTAGTTCAGCTCCAAGTCCAGTTGCCATACGGCTGCCCGTCAGCAGCTCGCACCACTCAGCTCAAGGTGTCGCGTTCAATCTTAGGTATGGGTAGGCATAGCCCACCATCCCATGCGGGAGTCGAACCAGCAACCTTGTTCTTAGGACCACGTGCTCTTACCAGCTGAGCCATCCTACCACCTGTTGACAGCTCAGCTCAGGCGCAGCTCACTGGCCCATGTGGGAATCAAACCAGCAGCCCTGTTGCTCAGAGCTGGTGCTCTTAACCAACTGAGTCACTCGGCAGGCCCCTAAAAATATTTTCAACTACCTCATTTTATTCCAAAAGATTTTACAATGGGATCACACCACAGGATCATGAATTCGAGAGATGATTGCAAGATAAACCCCAGTGGAATCAGAAAACAAAAGAAATGGTATAAATGCAATCAATGTGCATCATGAAATCTTGTTCTGTGTCTATACCTTAGACCAATTTGGCTATGCCTAGCAGGGAGACCTAGTCAATTTTCAATTGTAGGCTCAAAGGCATGCTTCTTGATACAATGACCAGGAAGAAATGGCACCAAATCTGTGTCAAGTCACGAAGACCCACTACTGCACATCCCATGCAGCACACCACACCAAAACCCAACAACTGGGCACAAAAACTAGGGCAGTGGTGAATGGCCCAACATCTGGCCAGTGTTAAGAACTTGACTTTTCACTTGCCTGCTGTGTGACCTTGAGTCCATTCCTGTCGCTTTAAAATTGGAATGACAGTATTTCTGTTACAGCACAACAGGGACATACATAGTGGGAATCAAAGCACGCTTCACCAAAGGCTGGACACAGAGGAAATGTTCAGACCGATTTCATTACTGTTACTGGTAACTAACTACCAGAATAACTGTCCTGAGCCTCTGATCCAGCACACTTTTCCCATCATCTGGGTGCCCACTGGTTGCCCTCCAGCAGGAGAAAAGAAGCTGTAGGAGATCAAGCTTTCATTTACCCATGACTCTTATCCATGATTTTGTCCCCAATAACTGACACTGGTTCTCTGAAAAAAGTAACCAACTTGACACAACTTTGGGATGGTTAATAAAAAAACAGAAGGGGGCCAGCCGAGTGGCGCGTTGGTTAAGGGTTGGCTTGGGAGTGCGAGCTTTGAGCAGCAGGGCCACCGCTTCAGATCCTACATGGGCCAGTGACGCTGTGCCCTCTACAGCTAAGATGGTGAACAACAGCTCGACCTGGAGCTGGGCTGCTATGAGTTGCCCACAATGGCGTAGGCTGCAGTGGGGGCTGCAGTGGGCTGTCATAAAGCTACTGTTAGTGGCCGGCAGCCAGCGTGAGTGGCCGGCGTCTGGCATGAGCTGCCAAGAGCCGCCATGAGAGGCCGTCCAATGGCCGGTGACCTACTGGCTCAGCTGGGAAGAGCGCAATGATCACAATACCAACATGGGCCAGTGAAGCGGCATCCTCCACAACTAGGCTGAAGAACACAAGGACCATAACTTGTCTGTTCTGTTCCCCTTCCCCGAATCCCCAATAAAATATTTTTAAAAACATGGAAAAACTGTAACTTGGAAAATAACTGATCAAGTCAAAACTTAAATACTGCAGCAAGTATTAAAAGATTTTGGAAAAAAACAAAAACAAAACAAAACAAAACAAAACAAACAAACCTGACCTCTTAATGGCAGGATGGCTCAGCTAAAAAAAAAAGGTTTTGCAGTGGTTTCAAAAAATTCCCTCAAACAAGACAGACAAGTTCTTCCCAATGTACATCAAAACCAGACGCAGATATATTACAAGAAATAAAACTATACATCCATTCTATTCATGAATAGATGCTAAAAAGTAAATCAAATTCAAAACATATGACCAAGTTGGACTCATTCTAAGAATAAAAGAACAGTTTGCTCCATTAGAAATTTATCTGTGTGATTAATTGTTCACCCAGATTGAGAAAAAAATAATTTCAGAGTCCAGAGTGCTAACCATTACACCATGGAACCTTTCCATAGAAAAAAATAATTTCAAAAAATACACAGGAAGCATCTAGTAAAAAAGTTCTTAATTTAGTAAAACAGGTGTTTATAATAAAAAAAAAAAGTTGGCATGTAACAGCGGCAAATGGCATCCTAAGTGAGGTTGTTCAAAGCCCTCTGTGTGCCTAGCAGTATTCAAATTCGTCCTTCAACAAGTATTTATTGGGCACCAGTTTAGGTGGGACTCATGTTCCCCATTTAATGAAAGCTAAAAGAAATCTTCTAAACCCTATAAAAGAGAGAACAGAGCCCATACCTGAGTATAACTTAGCAGGCTGGAGACCTCCCTCTTGGACAGTCGTGAGCTTGATCTGCGGCCTGTGGAGGAAAACAGAACCAGAGTCTGTTTTGTGGAAGCGGCCGCCAGGTTGGACAGTAGCCATGTCTTCCTTTGCTGATGATGGGCAGTCCTCTGTGGCCTCCTGGGCTACGGCCTGCGATCTCACTAAACCCACTGGCATCCTCAGGAGTTAACTCCTAGCCCCTCAGTAACCATTGCTGCCTCAATGTACTCATTAAGGCAACAGTGCACAGCACCAGGCACATAATAGGACCTAAAACAATATTGGAGGGTCTAGTGAGAGAAGACATCAAATTCCTTCCAGAACTGTGCTGCCCAATTCAGTGGCCACTAACTACACTTACATGAAGAATCCAGTGTCTGCCCCATCAGCCACATTTCCAGGGCTCACATGTGGCTAGTGACCATTGAAATGAATGCAGAAATAGAACACTAACCCTCACAGAAAGTTCTATTGCACAGCACAGTTCAAGGAGTTCTCAACAGGATGGGACATTACAGGGTCTTTCTAATTTCTAAACAGCTGGGTTAGAAAATCTCAGTGGGGAGGGTCCCAGGTGATCTGACCTAGGGACTGTGGAGGGGAGGGAGTGGAGAGGAGGCTGGGAAAGGAAGCAGGGCTCAGCTCCTCCTGGGCGTTTTTCTTCCCAGGCCATCAGTGCCAGTTGTGGTGTCAGATGGGGTCCCGCTGAAGAAAGGCAAAGACCCCAGCCTATGCTGGGGCCTTTTCCATCATGACTCGAAAAGGACAGGGATAATCACCTTGGGGTCACTTCCTCATTGTCCCAGCTGAGGTGAGAGGAGGGAGGGTAGGGGTGAGCAACGGGCTTGGCTTTGCCTATATCCTCTTCCCTTCCCGAGTGGGTGCAGTGGAGGTTATCAGGGACCAGGCCTCTCCCCACAACCCGCCTTCAGCCTGCTCAGGAGGGAGTCTCATGTCCCATGTCCCAGCTGTGGTCCACAGTGCCTGCCCCACCCCTCATCCCCACAGGCCCAGCCACCTCTGATCTCGGGGGTGCTGATAGCCTCCAGGATCGGGGGCGAGGGCGCATCCTTGGAGTCAGAAGACCGGTCACTGCAGCCGCCATTGGTGATGATGGAGTCTTCCCTCCCGCTGGCATCCTCCTCTCTGTTGAGTTGTCTGGTGTCGCCCTTCATTGTTCCCTGCAGGAGGGACCAGAATGGATAGGTTATCAGGGAGGCAAGGGCTCGAGCGGGACAGCACACCCCTCAACTTCCAACCAATGGGTCTACGTCCTCAGGCCAAAAGAGGTCCCAGGACATATTCTCAAGGTGATACTCCCGCCCAAGGACCCCACCCGGGTTGCCCCCCATAACCTGCCCCCCTCACCAAACTCCGAGGCTCAGGACTTGGTTCCATGTGGCCAGGCGGCCCGAAGGCTCAGATGCCAGCACCCAGGACAGAGGAGGGGGGCTGGGCTGTGGGCTGAGGCTCAGACTGCTCTGTGCAATTAGCCGGCCACTTCAAACAATGCCATTTAGGACCCGCCTGCCCCGGCCTGCCTGCCGCCAGCCTTGGTCCCCTCTGCCCCTGGCCCCCTCTCCCTGGCCAGCCTCTGCAGGGCCTCAGGAAGCCAGTGCATTATTTTCCCTCCTGACCCCTTTGTTTGCTCTCTCCCTTTCCCTCAATCTCCAGGTCCTCTTCCCACAGCCCCCTCCTCCCCCACAGAACAGCTTCTCTCTTCTCCATGGCAGCACAAGCCCCGCCTCACCCTAACCTCAGGGGCCCATTGGTCTGCTGGCCTGTCGCTCACTCCCCTCCTCCCTCACCAGCTGGGGCTCAGAGTCCCAAGTTCCCAAGAAGGGAAAGGATGGAGGAGACACAGGCAAAGGACTGGGGCAGTTAACAAGGGGCATGTTCCCCATCTGCTCCAGCCTCACCCCACTCTAGGCCTTTGTCTCCCCACTGCTGCCTCTCCTGGTAACTACATCATCATTAGGCTATTCAGCTAAGACCAGCTTAGGTCAGGTCTTCACCCATGGGTTGAAGGGCTGTGTCAACTTTAACCTGGCCCACTGCCTGCAACATTTGTTGGCTGTAAGAACCTTCACCTTTCTTTCACTTATTCCTAATGTCACTGTGGGACCATTTTATAGAAAAGGAAAACTGACACACAGACATGGCTAGCGTTCAAGGCCAAAAATCCCATCTAAGGGGTGGGGCTAAGGCAAAATTAGAGCCTAGGTTCAGTGTAAGGCGCCCAGACTCCTATTTCTTAGTTCCCCTCAAACAGCTCCAGAGGTATTTGGTGCCACACCCTGATGGCCTGGAACTCTTCTTGGGAAAAGGTTGCCCAGCAAATGGCTACCAAACTCCAGGCCTCTGCGCCCTGTCTCGGGGACTCACCATGCAGTGCCAGATGACCCACAGTGCCAGATGACCCACGCTAGCCTCCCAGGGTACCTTCTAGAAGCATCAGTGGGCTACAGGGCTGCAGTGGTGATGCTGGCGCCATGTCCACCAGGGGGCGTTGTGGGACTCAGTCTTAATGGGCCTACAGCGCCCCCAGGCGGACTTCCAATGTCATGGGGGGAGGTCCCAATTCCATCCCCCAGGCGTGGGAGTAGGGCAACTAGACCTCTGATATTCCAGATATGGCCCAAGGACCAGCACCCTTGGAATCACCTGGGAGCTGATTAGAACTAAAGAATCTCAGGCACCATCTTAGACCTACAAATCAGGATAGACATTTTCACAAGATCCCCGGGTGATTAATATGCAAGTGAAAGAAGCACTTTTCTGTTCATAAATGTATAGACTGACACATAGCACAATGTGGTCTTTACCCCATGGGGCCCGGGGTGTGCGGTTCACAGTTCCTGGTCTATTTTCTCTCAACACATTGTTAAGGAATCTCAGCAGCCCGAGGGAAAAAAGGAGTGCCTGGCCCAGCCTGATCAGCCACTTCTTAGCCGCTTTCACTCCTCAGCCCTGACCTGGAAGAACTGACCTATGGGCCAGTTCCTGTGAGGCCAAGCAGCCAGAATCCCAGAAAAACTGCTGGAGTGTAGTTCAAAGTAATAATTAATTCCCTGTGTTTCGTCCCAGGTCAAACCAGTGAACTAAGTAACCTGGGTGGCCTGGCAGGAGATGGGAGGCTAGGCCATGGGGTGCAACACACCAGGAGAGTCCATGGGGAGGAGGACAGAGCAGACAGGGTTTTTAGTCAGAAGCTGGTAGTAGGTCAGATGCTGAATCGAAGGGCATGACTTCCCTCTTATCTGGGGGATCCAGGGTTCCCTGACAGCCCCTAACTGGGTCAATCAACTAGACAGTCCCAGGTAGAGCCTGTAGCCCAGCACCAACAATGATTAACTGCTCGGGCCTTCCCACAGAGCCTCAGCAGTGCCAGCTTGTGCCACCAGCCTGCCTGAGGGACATGTGAGCAGAACCTTCCCAAAGGCAGATCTAAATGTTCAGGAAAATTCTCCTGCCCCTACAACCAGACTCATGGACCCTGGAGGAAGATTCAAGGAAGACAGCCAACCAGCTCTAAGTGTCGTCGGCTACCTGGGTGTCCTAGGGTGAACTGGGCAGGTAAAATACTCTTTTCATTTGCAAAATTCAATGTGGTTTCATAAAATAACTCCTTCTCTGTAGTTTTCATCACTTGGGGTTTGCGATGATATTAACTATCCTGGCTGCCTTACTGCCACAGCACACACCAGCATCCAGAACCTGCACCCATGATTGAAAGATGCCCAGCTCAGGGGCAGCCAGGTGGCTCAGTTGGTTAGAGTGCGTGCTCTTAACAACAAGTTTGCCGGTTCGACTCCCGTATGGGATGGTGGGCTGTGCCACCACCACCCTCGCAACTAGATTGAAGAACAAGTTGACTTGGTGCTGATGGGTCCTGGAAAAAATACTTTGTTCCCCAATAAAGCTTAAAAAGAAAAGAAAAAAAGAAACATGCCCAGCTCAGTTCCTCTCCCTCATCCACATTCTACAGAGACAAATATAGCCAGCCAGCCTCCAGGCGTGTGCCGCTGCTGTTCCCTTAGTCTGGAAGCCCTCCCATCTCCCTACCACATGCCTCCTTTTTTTTTTTTTTTTTTTTTTTTTTTTTAAGATTTTTATTGGGGTATTGGGGGGATGGGAACAGTGCAGGGGAATTGGGGGAAGGGGAACAGACAGGTTGCTGTCCTTTTGTTCTTCAGTCTAGTTGTGGAGGACGTTGCTTCACTGGCCCAAGCTGGCACCATCATTGCACTCTTCCCAGGCGAGGCAGATCAGTCACCGGTTTCTGGACGGCCGCTCACTGCGGCTGCTGGCCGCTCACGCTGGCTGCTGGCTACACACGGTAGCCCATGGCAACCCACTGACACAGGGGCTGCAGCCTATGCCGTCGCCGGCGATTCATGGCAGCCCAGCTCCAGGTTGAGCTGTTGTTCAGCATCTTAGCTGTAGAGGGCAGTGTCACTGGCCCTCATATGTGGGATCCGAACCGGGGCCCTCTGGTGTCCCAAACCAGTTCTTAACCATCGCGCCACTCGGCCGGCCCCACATGCCTCCTTATTACTCACTTCAAACACCACATCTCAAAAGCCAAGAAGTCTTCTCTCATAGGCCCCTGCTTCAGGAAGTAACAACCTGGCCCTCCCCAAGTAAATATATAAATCCTCTCACCTGCTAATATAGTTAATTTTTGTTTCAGTGTTTACTACTATATATTGCCAGGCACTCTTCTGTGCTTTACTTGTGTTAACTCATTTAATCCTTAAATGGGGTACATACTATTATCTCTATTGTACAGATGGGCAAACTGAGGCACAGATAGGTTAAGCAACATAACACATACTTGATCAATGTGACTTGAAGTGCGAGATCAGAAAAGTTAAATAGGAACTCACAAATTTAACTACATACTCTTGGCAACAAGAAGAAATTAGCACCAGAGACTGGTGTGTAATGGTAAACACAGATCTCCCTCACCTCGTCCCACATACCTCAGTTTGGCTTCTAGTGATTCAAGAGTGGCCTTTCCTGGATAATGGGGCCCTCAACACAAGCCAACTATGCTATCTAGTGTGATCGTTCCAGGGCTCCAGGATAAACTGGCTGGGTTAACCTCCCTGAAAGAGGTGACACGTTTCTACGGGATTTTTCCAGGAGCATAGCACTAGTTTTCCAAATGCCCCCTGCCATCCCACTGTACTGTAAGCTAAAGGAAGTACAAACATCTCTTAACCCCCACCCCATCCTGAGGCACATCCTGTTATCAATCTGCTCTCAACAGGCTCAGTTCTATTAAGTCACCTAAAGTCATCTAAAAAGTAGCAGCACCAAGACTCATGCTCAGGCAGTCCAGGGCACGTGCCTATAACTGGTGTCCACAAGACAAGGCTGATGAGCGTTACAAAGTTCTAACAATGCACCCTCCATTCCAGGGGCTACAGGGGTTTTTTGCCTAAGGGACATGATACATCAGCTGGGTGTTCACCAGCTCAGGAGGTGGTGCTCTAACCTCCTGATGAGGGGGGTCAACTCTGACCCTTTCCCAGAGGCTGGGGTCCAGCATGTGATTTAGGGGTGGGCCGCACTGTGAGGTAGGCTCACCCTTAAGGTTCTCCCTGCAAGGCCCTGACTCATTAGTGCAGGGTGCTTGTGTCTGGACTGAACCAGGTCAGGCGTGTCCAAATGCAATGTGGCAGACAGAAAGGTGGGTGGCACCCCCCAATTAGACTCAGGGAGGAGGCCCAGCCATAAAGCTGAGAAGTGATGTCATTCATTTCCTCCAGGCTGGCACCAGCACCAGAGCTATTTCACAGCACCTTGTAAATGTTAATTGCATTAATTAAGCTCATAATGCGGGAAGGGGGTATGGAGGGCATGATTGATGGGGAAGTAGGTGGAGGGGGGCTACTTGGGTATCCCTGCCCCACTGTAAGTCCCCCAGGGCTTAGAGATTCAGTGAAATAAAAGGAGAGAGGATGAAAGATATTTCCATCTCCCCTATTTAAAAATGCCTTCTCCACAGCCTGTGGAAAGGAAATCTGTATTTCTGAACCCTCCCCTGGAACAGTTCAAGTCTTTCGTAGCTGTTCCCACTGTCCCAGATTACAAAAGAACATCTGAGATGGAGCAGTTACTTGGTACCTCACAAAACAAAAAGAGAAGCTACTCACAATCTCCCCTTTTGCAG